TCTCAGATCATCCCCTGCTCACTGGGAGGCAGAGAAAAAGAAGGTTTTAGCGATGATTCGTCAATTTGGGTTGCCATCGTTATTTATCACCCTGTCGGCTGCAGAGACAAAATGGACTGAATGTTGGTTATTCTAACAAAACTTGTGGACAAAATGGATATTTCCGAAACTGAGGCAGCACAACTATCAAATTCAGAGAAGGCTCGGCTTATAAGGACAGATGCTGTAACCTGTTCACGGTACTTCGATTATCGTTTCCGACAAATGGTTAAGCTACTCAAAGATAAAATATTTGAGCCACATGTGCTTATTCATTATTACTGGAGGATTGAGTTCCAACACAGAGGTAGTCCTCACTGTCATGGAATGTACTGGATAAGTAACGCACCTACTCTGGAGACAGAAGGTGTTATAAATATTGACCCCATTGTGGAATTTGTCGACCAATTTATAACAACAGATGGAAGCAATCCAGAGGTGCAGCAATTTATTGACTACCAAAGACATAGTCATGGTCGGGCTTGCTTGAGAGATATAAGAGGTCAGCAAGTCTGTCGTTTCAACATGCCTTACCCACCAATGCCCCGAACTTAGGTATTATTACCTCTGGACGAAAACGAAGTAAGCGAACAACACCTGGCTCTGTTGCAAAAAATTAAAAATGTTTTAAGCCAACATAATGATAATATGGAAGCAGAGAACTTGAACAACTTTGAGGAATTCTTAATGCATCCAGACATTTCCCCAACCTATGAGAATTACAAATTAGCGCTGCGTTCCAGTTTAAAGAAGCCTCAAATATTTCTACGAAGGAAATTTTCAGATAGACTGCTTAACGCATATAACAGCGGCATTTTGCGTTTGCATAGAGCAAATATGGACATTCAGTTCATACTTGACGCCTATGCATGCTGCAGCTACATAAGAAATTATATCAACAAATCTAATAGAGGGGTATCTCAGCTGTTAAGACAAGCCATGGATGAAATAAATGACGGAAATTTCACAATTAAGCAAAAATTACAACACATAGGCAATAAATTTCTTAACGGATCGGAGGTGTCCGCCCAAGAAGCATCCTATAATATTTTGGGTCTCCATCTTTCAGAAGCCAGCGAAGGAGAAATTTTTATTAATACGTCACACCCAGGCAAAAGAGTCAGAATGGTGAAGCCGAAAAGTGATCTAGGAAGGCTTCCTGCTGATTCAACTGATATTTATGTACCGAACTTGCTGGATCATTATATTTAAAGGCCAAGTCGGCTAGGGCAACTCTGTCTTGCTGATTTTGCTGCATTGTACCGATTTTCAAAAACAAGAACAGTGTCTACACTTGAAAACGAGGACAATGAAGAAGTCGAACCAGTTGATGAAAATTCTGAAGCAAACGAGCTCCGGCTTCAATTAAATGATAGGAGCGGTTTCATCTGGAAGAGAAAGCGCCCTCTTATATTAAGGTGGAGACGTTTTAGTGTTGAATTTTCTCGATCAGACTACTTTCGGGAAATGGCTATGCTATTTTATCCCTGGCGTAGCGAGGCAGCTGATTTAATCGATGCTGACATAGAATGAGTTTGTAATGACAACAAATCAATTATTGAATAGAACAAGCTGAAATACGACAAGTTCTCAGACCGTGAGCTCGAAAATATTTTAGAGAACTTAAATCAGCAAACAGCAGAGGAAGATGTTCAGGTTGATGTTACCCCTTTCTTGAATGAAGAGTTTAGAGCACTAGCTATTCCAGAAATCGGCAATGATGTCGACGTATTTCAAAGCGATGAGCCATAGAACCCAAACTTGGAGGAGGTCAGGCTCATAAGACTACCTATACTTATTCAAGAAAATGAGCTGCTCTCAATTGTGCGCTCCTTGAACAGAAAACAGCGGGAATATTTTTATCATGTTCACCATAACATGAAGCTGAAGAGACACTTTTACGAATACGTCGGAGGCGGAGTTGGAGTAGGAAAAAGCCAATTAATTTCCGCTTTATACCAGTCACTGACAACACGAGCAAACAGCTTATCCGGCAGTAATCCCGAGACAATTAAAGTCTTATTGTGTGCTCCTACAGGAAAAGCTGCATTTGGGATTGGAGGCGTTACTTTGCACTCGATTTTTTCCTTACCGATAAACCAATCATCAACTGAATTACGACCTCTCAGCAATGATAGTGTTAATTCTATCTATTCAAACCTAATAGACCTTCAGTTAATAATAGTGGACGAAATTTCAATGGTCGGTGCCAAAATATTTGGATATTTAGATGCCCGTTTAAAACAAATATTTCGCTCTAGCGAGTATTTTGGAGGTATACCATTAATTGTTTTTGGCGACTTAAAGCAACTCTCGCCAGTAGGAGACACATGGATTTTCTCACCAAACCAATTGGATCCATATAGCGCAATTACTGGCACACCACTTTGGGATTTGTTCCGTTTCTTCGAACTCACCGAAATAATGCGCCAAAGAAAAGATCAGGCATTTGCCGTTGCTCTCAACAACATGTCCGAAGGAAATATGACATCTGATGATATCGAGCTCATTAAAGCAAGAGAAACCAATTTTAACGAGATACCCAACGACTGTATTCATCTTTTTTATTCCAACGCGGATGTATCTCTATATAGTACTGCAAGATTGGCTAAAATCGCCACAGAAGAGTTTATCTCTACAGCGAAAGACAGTGTGAAGGCGAACTCTCTTTCGGAGCGAAGTAAAACGGTTATATTGGATGCCATAAAGAATTTTAAAATATCGGAGACACAAGGAATGTGCTACGGTTTACAACTGAAAACCTCTGCAAAATACATGATTATGGTCAACATTAATATTGCAGATGGTTTGTAAATGGAGCTACGGGCCGACTAATGCAAATTGACCATCGAGGCCCCGAACGGACACCAGTAATTCTTTGGATGCACTTTTCCGAGCCAGGAATTGGAATAATAGCACGTTCCAAAAAGCCTCACCCCACGAATCGAGCTGGACACCAATTGAAAAAGTAGTGCGCACCTTCCAGTATAGAAGAAACGAACATGTCTCGATAGAAAGAAGGCAGTTCCCTATAATACCAGCAGAGGCAATAACAATACACAAAAGCCAAGGAGCAACTAACAGATTGGTTGCTATTCATACTGTGAAGGGAATGAGCCGATCAGCTTTGTACGTCGGATGCAGTAGAGCAACAAGTGCTTCAGGACTATTTATTGTAGGTAATTTTATTCCACCTAGACCTTTTGGAGGCAACGAAGTAGTCCAAGCACAGCTGAATATACTTCGGACATTAAAAAAATTAGAGACGCACTGCAAATTTGCAACTGAGCGCCCAGATAACACTCTTCTATTGTACTATCAAAACATAAGAAGCTTAAGAAAGCATATCGATGACATTAGAAGTGACCACCTTATTTGTTCAGCGGATATCATTTGTTTTGCCGAGACTTGGACCCGTCCAGAAGAAGAATTACAAATCGAAGGCTATAGTATTGTGGCGCGTATCGATGGAGCAACTGAGACTGGACAAAGCCGCTCACGGAATGGAGTAATAATTTACTGTAAAACTGGTCATGAAAGTTGCTTTACCACAAGTTTCATTAAAAGTCATCATGTAGCCGGAAAAGTGTATCAGTTTCTGGCGATATCAAGACCAGACTTGGCAATCGCTGTAGTATACAGAAATCCATCTTTTTCATTACCAGCATTTAGAAGAATATTGGAAGAAGATATAAAGGAGCTGAGTAATAGAAATAATGGAGAATTAATAGTTGTTGGAGACTTTAATGTCTGTCGCATTACGTCAAATGATGTTCTTGGAACGCGCATGAGCCAACTAGGATTGCATTCCTTACTGGAACATCTTCCTACTACAAAGCAACAAACCGCGATTGATTGGTTATTGGCAAGTTTTTCTGCAGACAGAACAAGGGCGATAACATATGAAACCTCATTCAGCGACCATGACGGGATATTTTTTAGTGTTGGCGATTAATGTTATTATATTTTCACATGTACCACATACGTTTGTATTTAAACACTTTGTTGTAGAACACCTTAATTTACTTTATCATAAGTCTTTTTGTTTTATTTAATGTATTTGAAATTTAAAAGTAGTAGGTAAAAATTAAATAAAGAATAAAATAACAAGTAAGAAAGTCTAAGTTCGGGTGGAGCCGAACATTAAATACCCGGCGCAAGTATTAAATATATGTTTTTCACCTTTCCGAAAGCTACCGCTAGATGGTAAGCCGGGGTGTATCAATTTTGAGTAAATTAGCGTCCTTAAATTTCGAAATATTGCAGTTTAAAGCATCCGATTAGTCCGATTTCAATTATTTTCAACATTTTGCTTTTATGTGGCCAGCACAATAACCACACCGAGTTTGGTACAAATTGGTAGAACGGTTACCGAGTTACATATATGTAATCATAAGTGGGCGGTGCCACGCTCATTTTCCAAAATTTTATCATAAACGTCTTTCTTGGTAAAGAACACTGGTCTACAAGGGTTTTGCGAATAAGACGGGACCTGGTGTTTCCGAACGGATTTTTCGTGCTGAACACGAATCTGGGGTCCAAAACTTCCCATCACGTCACGTTTTCGAGAAAAAAGGGGTTGAAACCCCTAAAAACAGCGTTTTTGGCCATTTTTGAAAAATTGTAGAGCTGAACCCTGACGTGCTACAAACTTTGTATATGTCAGAAATTAAAGGCTAAATCGTGCCCTTTCGAATGAGCCCTATGCCGAATTAATCGCATGCACCCTTAGATCAGGGGGTGTAGTTGTGTCTAGGAGTCCAATTTTTATATCCACCATATTCGACCCGTCATCTTAAATTTTTAAAATCTAACTGCAGATTCGTAATCAGCGACTTTTAATATAGTTAAAACCTTGGCATTATTAATTTTCTATGATCGTTTAAGATTAAATTCTTTCTGTGATCAATTTTTCCTGCACCCCTAAACACAAATACACCCCCTGCTTTAAGGGTGCACGCGATCAATTCGGCATAGGGCTCATTCGAAAGGGCACGGTTTAGCCTTTAATTTCTGATATATGCAAAATTTGTACCACGTCAGGGTTCAGCTCTATAATTTTTCGAAAATGGCCAAAAACGCTGTTTTTAGGGGTTTCAACCCCTTTTTTCTCGAAAACGTGACGTGATGGGACATTTTTGACCCCGGATTCGTGTTCAGCACGAAAAATCCGTTCAGAAACACCAGGTCCCGTCTTATTCGCAGAAAAAAAAGTTGAAATTTGTAGACCAGTGGAATTGTTGCAAGCATCAATTTTGAATAAATTTGCTTTAATAATTAC